GGTAAAGGTTCTTTTTTTGCGAGGATGCAGGCCGTAGTCCCACCGTCTCCTCCACCTTGGCGACTCTCCAGTCCGTCGTGGGAAGCATCGGGTTGCACATCCTCAGCATCACCAGGATGGTTTTAAGGTCGGCTGGCTTTTCTGTAAGCCATACTCGCGCTCTCGGTTTACTTGGGATCTCCTTTCAGTCAACCGCCACCAGCTTTGCCCCGGGGTAGATCTCTAGATCTCTAAATCTAGCATCCCAAGCGAATGTGAAGACGCTACCAAGCAACCATTCGCTCTTGAGACTCTATCAATCGCGAGTCTCGACAGGCAATTACCTTGACGCTATCCTAATACCATCCTGCGTCTTCACATTCTGGTGGGGATCCTCCGTTCTGTAGCATCTCCTCCACGAAGCGCCTATGCAACTCGTTTACCACTCGTCGCCAAAGGTCCTTGTGGATGGGCCCATCTTTGGAACCCTTGTCCAGGACTCCAATAAGGTTTTTTCCCTTCGTCACTTCGGCGAACGAGCGTTTTGACGGCAGCGGCTGGGCCTTCCTTTTGTTGGCTTGGGGGGTTCCTCCCTCCGTGGATCTCCGCGCAAAGCGTGATCTCCTTGACGGTGTCTGACCTAGCAAGTTTCTTCGGATCCAGCCTCACACCCGCCTTTTCCGGTTTAAATTCGGGCAGGATCTCCCTTGCCCACTTAATAATCTCGGCCTGGTCCGGGTTGGCTTCGGCCGATGGGTCTGCCCTCATTAGAATGAAGGCTGCTCTTCTCCTATCTTTATAAGAGCATTTTCGCTGCGTCGAGTGAGATGCTCCCGGACCACTGTTCGCCTTAGGGGCCCTGCCGGTTGGTTTCGAGGTTGACCAAGAGGTCTTCCTCACCACGCCGTTCGGTAGCCCTATGGCTAGCCCCGCTATGGAAGAAGATGCCTTGACATCCTCCTCCGCAACGGCGCGTCCCGCCTCCAGATTTTGCCCCTCTGTGGGGGGCTTCTCCATCTCAGCAACTCCTTGGCTTTTGAGAGCCTTGGAGTTTGACAGGTCACTGACCCCATTTCCTGACTTTTTTAGGAAATTCCGTTCTCCACTTAGGTTTTTGTTAGGTAAGTTAGAACTCATGTTTTGGTCCCACGAGTAGGCGGGAAGGGGTTCGTCCATCATGACATAGCCCGCTTGTCACAATAAGCCTGGTTAAAACTGGGAGGTCGGCCGGTCCCCCAGAGTTCGCATATTAGCGTCAAAGCCCCCCCTCGGACACGCATCCTTCGGCATATGCTGTTCCACCTTGGATTGGGGTGATTTAAAGAAGGGAGTGTTCTTCTCCCCACCCGACTACCATAAGCCAGCATCCTCGGCAGAGACATGACCTTACCGAGACCTGTTACCAGCCGCCCTCATGTGGAGAGTATAGTCGCACTACCAGCGGTGTACACAGTTACGGCACGCAATTGCTTGCCCTTAGGTCCCCCTGTTGTACCCGTTGGCTGACGACCTTCTATGTCTTCTGTCTAGACTTAATGCAACCACGTCAATTCGACGTCAGGGGTTTTTATACCCTTGCAGAGGGTATTATAATTTTGGTCAAAAGTGTGCAACGCAGTGAAGGAGACGACTCCGACCCTATAAAGTATATATATTCTTGATCAGGATCACCTCCTGAGTTAATATGAGCATGTCCGTCTGTCCGTCTGTCTGTCTGTTTTTACGCGAACTAGTCTCTCAGCTTTAAAGCTATCGTCTTGAAACTTTGCACACACCCTTCTTTCCTGTGCACGCAGTATATAAGTCGGAACGGTCCGGATCGGCTGACTACATCCTATAGCTGCCATATAACTGTTTGATCGGAAATTGTATAACTTTGGTGTTTTTAGCGAGTTCAAATTTGACATGAGCGCTATTTTTGGCAAAATAATACGAATTTCTTTCTTTTTGTTTTTTGAATTGCGCCATTGAAGTGAAAATCTATACTATAGCATGCACGACTCACCGTCGTGTCTAGCCGGCGCCTACGTACTAACAACTCCACCGCACACACCAAAAACCCCGCGAAAACACTGCAATGTATTGCTTCGAGAATTTCTTAATCTAGGCATTCTCTCTTAAGCGACGTTCACTTTCAAGTCTTCTTAAAGGGTTACGCCACCCTGAAATTTTCAAAAAATTTCAAATTTTTTTTTACTTAATTTAAAAGACTATATTGTTACGCGTATTTTAAGACGTCCCAGAAGACAATATCTTATTAACTTATTATGGAAGTTATGTTTATTTGAAGTCGCAGGAGGGCACCTAAGACACTTCTTTTTCTTCTTTTGCGTTTTTCTCGAAACCACTTTTTTCAAGACGGTGGGCATGATAACTCAAAAACTGTTCAACCGATTGACTTGAAAATTGAAACACATCTTCTTACATAGATTTTCCACAGAGTGACGTAGGATTTTTTCGATCCAATGCACAGTAGGCCCGATTGCCAAATAAGTGGCATAAAATGGAAAATTGTATATATCGAGCAAAAACTTAGCATATTTTAAGAATACACCACTATAAATGTTTAAGCAATGTTTTTAGTAAGTTTGGCCACGCCTACCTTAACTGCCCATGGAAGACAACATAACGTATACGTGATCTGAAGTTAGATTTCGTTTTTTATACTTATATTTATTATTTTCTTACATATTATACTGATTTTTATTATTTATAATAAACATGGATTTCATTTTTGCTTAAATAGGAATAAAAGGATATACATTAAGATTTTATGCTTACATATGTATACTAAGTGTTAAAACATTGTGCTTTGGCAAAGACGCGTTCCTCCTTCCTCATAAGATAGCTTTAGTCTTCCCTTTGTTAAATTTGGAATATCCGCTTGGTTATCCAAAACTATTTTTAAAGACTTTGATAGCCACTCTGAATGTTTTTTTTTTGAACGTTCGCATATTACGGCTACACTTTTGCAGATTTGATTTTATATAAATTTCAAAGCTTTTAATTTTTTGTAAAGTTCGCCCTTCTGGTCGACTGTCAGTCTACCCTCATTAATCTGGCCAAATATCCATTCAGCAAGCGCATTAGAGTCGCGAGCGCTGTCAATTCATACGTCTAGCAAGGTTGCATGACAGAACTCATGCACATCTTGAAAATGTCATCATCGAAAAAGCCGCAAAAAGCCGCAAATGAGATTTTTTTTATATTTTTCTAAATAGTTTCTACTTTTGTTAAAGATACATTACACATTGCAGAAATACGCAGAAGACTTTTTTTTCTCCACAGAAGACGAACATAAAGGTTAGGTTTTTTCTTTTTGGACAACACAAAACAATACACATATAATACACATAAAATAATTTTACACAAAATGCTTTCATTAAACTCAATTTTCTTACCTCGAGGTTTAAAATTCATTTTAAATAATGTTAAATTCTTTTTTCGTGTGTGATTGCCAAGCGCACAAAGTCAACAAAAGTTTCCCGCCAACTTAATCACAAAAATCAGCTGTTCAATCACTTGACTTTGAAGCTAAATAAAAATTGAAAGGTTGCATTTCAACCAAAAATACTTTCTAATACTTATTATACAGGGAATTTAATATTGATAAGTTTAAAAAAAATTAAGATTTATTTAAATAAAATTTTCGATTTTATGCCGCTTATTTGGCAATCCGGAACTCATGCACATCTTGAAAATGTCATCATCGAAAAAGCCGCAAAAAGCCGCAAATGAGATTTTTTTTATATTTTTCTAAATAGTTTCTACTTTTGTTAAAGATACATTACACATTGCAGAAATACGCAGAAGACTTTTTTTTTCTCCACAGAAGACGAACATAAAGGTTAGGTTTTTTCTTTTTGGACAACACAAACCAATACACATATAATACACATAAAATAATTTTACACAAAATGCTTTCATTAAACTCAATTTTCTTACCTCGAGGTTTAAAATTCATTTTAAATAATGTTAAATTCTTTTTTCGTGTGTGATTGCCAAGCGCACAAAGTCAACAAAAGTTTCCCGCCAACTTAATCACAAAAATCAGCTGTTCAATCACTTGACTTTGAAGCTAAATAAAAATTGAAAGGTTGCATTTCAACCAAAAATACTTTCTAATACTTATTATACAGGGAATTTAATATTGATAAGTTTAAAAAAAATTAAGATTTATTTAAATAAAATTTTCGATTTTATGCCGCTTATTTGGCAATCCAAATACTGTGCAATGGATAGAAATTTTTTTATGCAATTTTTAGTACGAAATTTTTTGCCAAAAAAATTGAGTCAATTTTTGAAGTGCTCTCATTTGCGTAATTTTTTTTTTTTTTTCTTAAACGGCTACGTCACTCTGTTCCAAATTTATCACTTTTTAAAAAAAAATTTTGTTTACTTTTTTCTGATGAAAATTGACACGTGAATCATGCCCACCATCAAGGAGCACTCCGGAAAAACCGATGATCGCCGATGTTCATATCTCCGCCATTTTGCATTGAAAACAAGTTTTTTTTTAGAATTTATAAAGCTCATTAGTTGTATTGAATAGAAATAAAAGTGGAAAAATCCTATCTCAACTAGTTTAGTCACAAGAAATTCCTGAAAAACCGTCCCGTTTTCACGCGGTCAGGGTGGCGTAACCCCTTAAATCAACCTGTGTATATGCTATCAACTAGCTTACCCAGTTTCATTGCTCCTCTGAGCAATGAACCAGCCGCTGTTACCTGTTACCAGCCGCCCTCACGTGGAGAGTATAGTCGCACTACCAGCGGTGTACACAGTTACGGCACGCAGTTGCTTGCGTGTAGGTCCCCCTATTGTACCCGTTGGCTGACGGCCATTAATATGTATATTAATATCTATAAGTCGTAGAGTCTGTAAAAGCCTGTTATCGTTCGGTTTTATTCAAAATTAAACAACTGAAATTTCTTATATAAGTATGTCATATTAGTCTTAAACTTTTTTGAAACTTCCTTAAAAAATAACGTGAATGCATTTTTACAATTTTTTATTTAAAGATAACCGCTCTGGATGAGTTTGAAGATGGCCAGAGTTATGTTTGTTCCTGCAATAATGAAAATTTCAAAAAGGTTGATTATAATAGCTCTCAGACGCTTGCTAATCTGACTCTGGCCACAAACGGTCGCTGTATCAACCAGAGATTAACGAAAATACAGCGGCCCGGTTCCCCCCTTAAAAACGCAGGTGGAATCACTTCTGTTCCATTATGTTTCGTAAGTTCAGCGAACGGAAGTTCGTTAAACGCCTCTAGGCTTAGCGAACGTGACAGTGTAGTTTACCCTCGTATTGTGACATTAATACGCAATGGTACAAAACCCAGACGAATAATGCGCTTACTATTAAATAAACGAAACAGTCCAAGCTTTGATCATGTATTAACTGCTATTACTCAAGTCGTTCGCTTGGACACAGGCTATGTAAGAAAAGTCTTTACACTGAGAGGATCTTCCGTAACTCAGCTTGCCGATTTCTTTGGAACAGATGATGTTTTCTTTGCCTATGGTACTGAACGCATAAATACTATAGAGGATTTTAAATTAGAGGCAGAAGAGCAACGATCTATTAATGCCATACGAAAGACTTTAAGAACTGCGGGAACTACCTGCAAAGGACCTAAGCCTAAGATGCCTGTGAAGAGCAAAAACGTCTATGCGCCTTTGATAGAACCTGATATTAAAGAGCCGCCCATTTCTTTAGCAGATGAACAAGCCGAGTTGCTTAAGAGTACGGGCATACAGCTTAATGATTTGCCTTCTGGAATTCGGGAGAATTACAGTATAGGCCGTATTATCGGCGACGGAAACTTTGCTATTGTGCTTAAAATTAAAAATCGTGAAAACAAAAAATCCTATGCTTTAAAAATAATTGATAAGAGCAAATGTAAAGGCAAAGAGCATTATATTGATGCCGAAGTGCGGGTCATGAAAAAATTGAATCATCCGCATATTATATCTCTTATCATGGATGTTGATCAAGAGAACAACATGTATTTGGTGCTGGAGTATGTTAGCGGTAAGTCGAATTACTTTTTTTCAGGGACCGCAAAATAATGATTATAATCATTTTTATAATGATTATAATTATTTTTATTTTTCGATCATAGAATAATAATTATTTCTGATTTTTATTTTTTCGCTCAGAAAATAATGATTATTTTGTGATTTTTAAAATAAAACTCATAATGATTACGTTCCCTGCTTTTTTTTAATTGTAAACTTAAATTTAATTTATTTTATTACTAGGTGGTGATCTATTCGACGCAATTACACAGGTGACTCGCTTCTCTGAACGGCAGTCGCGGATTATGATTAGGCATTTAGGCTCCGCCATGTCTTATTTACATTCCATGGGTATAGTGCACAGAGATATTAAACCCGAGAACCTCCTTGTAAGAATTTATAAAGTAAAAATGTATATAAAGTTATATCCTTCAGCTTCAAAACTTGTAAATTTGTCTTTGCAAAAATTTTTATTTTATGACTTTAAGAAAGTCATGCCGCGTTGAAAAAAAGTATGTTTTAAAAAAAATGTATACCTTTGCAAAAGGCATTATAATTTTGGTCAAAAGTGTGAAACGCAGTGAAGGACTCTTCTCCGACCCTATAAAGTATATATATTCTTGCTCAGGATCACCTACGGAGTTGATATGAGCATGTCCGTCTGTCCTTCTGTCTGTCCGTATGTTTCTACGCGAACTAGTCTCTCAGTTTTGAAGCTATCGACTTGAAACTTTGCACCCTTCTTTCCTTTGCACGCAGTATATATGTCGGAACGGCCGGGATGGGCCGACTATATCCTATAGCTGACATATAACTGAATGATCGGAAATGGTTTTTGGTAGAAATACCAACTTTGATATTATTGAATATAGAAGCTTGGGACTTTTTTTTTTATATATTTTATTGTAATTATTTGGTTTTATGTAATATTCTCATAAGGACCGCCAACCTTTATCCGATGTTTGCGATTTATATCCGCTTTTAACTGCAAGGGTATATCAACTTCGGCTCCGCCCGAAGTTAGCTTTCCTTTCTTTATACCCTTGCAGAGGGTATTATAATTTTGTCCAAAAGTGTGCAACGCAGTGAAGGAGACATCTCTGACCCTATAAAGTATATATATTCTTGATCAGGATCACCTCCTGAGTTGATACGCGAACTAGTCTCTCAGTTTTAAAGCTATCGTCTTGAAACTTTGCACACACCCTTCTTTCCTTTGCACGCAGTATATAAGTCGGAACGGCCCGGATCGGCCGACTATATCCTATAGCTGCCATATAACTGATTGATCGGAAATGGTATAACTTTGACGTTTTTAAAGTTAGAGAGTTTAAATTCGACATCAGAGCATTTTTTGGCAAAACATTACGACATGCCAAATTTCATAAGGATCGGCCGACTATATCCTATAGCTGCCATATAACGGAACGATCGGAAATGACCCAAATTTCGTGTTTTTGAAGATAGAAGTTTGGGACATTTTTAGGTTTTGTATTATAATAAATTGGGTTATATTATCATATTCTTATAAGGATCGGCCAATTATCCGATGTTTGCGATATATATCCGGTTTTAACTGCAAGGGTATATAAACTTCGGCTCCGCCCGAAGTTAGCTTTCCTTTCTTGTTTTTTTTAAGAAAGCTTTTTCAGCAACAGTTCTTAAACAAATGGAAATCTATGCTTCTATTCTATCTTCTAAATCTTCTAATTCTAAATCTATTTTCTATTTCTATGCACTTTTTACAATTTCTAAGAAAATGTTTCTGAGTGGAAACATACATATTTTTTTTTAGTTTGGGTGTCAAATGAGGCAAAATAGTAAATAGCAAATGAGTAAACTTTTAAAAAATTAAAATTTTTTTTCGGCAGAATTCCCGACCCTACTTATATACTGCGTGCAAAGAAAATAAGGGTGTGTGCAAAGTTTCAAGACTATAGCTTTAAAAAATGAGCGAATAGTGTGCTTATAATGCAAACTGCTTATATCAACTCAGGAGGTGATCCTGATCAAAAATATATATTTTATAAGGTGTATATAACCTACATATGTATAATTAATAACTATATATTAGTTTTCAATTCGTTAGTTTTTGTTAAGTTTGGCTTATAGACCTTAACTAAAGTAAATATGCTTGTTAATTAAAACTATAAAATTAACTCTAACAAAAAAAATTTAAAAAAAAAAAAAAAAAAAACACGCCTCTTTTTTTAAAAGGAGACTGGCTTAATATAACACTATAAAAACCCGTATAGAAATATCTTGCTTCATTTCTAATATTTACAATTTTGGGCAGAAAGAGTGGTAAAATTTCCCATAATTCAGTACATTTATTTGTGTTCGGATACGTGGAATATTCTACATACCCCGGAAAATACCTGTTAACGGATTGCTGTTCCCAATAGCTCGGTTCTTTCCAGGATCGTTTGACTTTGTGAGACGATTCAAAAAATCTTTTTTGTATGTATGTGTGTATGTCAAAATAAGTGGGTCATGTTTCATTTGCCTTTGTGATATTTGTGCGCTTTCCCATGAAGTCTTGGCCATCCCCGCTACTCAAGTATCTGTTGAGAGCATTTTCAGCTTTGCAATTTATGCTAAGCGAAAGAGGGAGTTCAATAAATATTCAAATATTCTTTATTGTATCTGTTGAGAGAATTTGACTTTTTCGGTCTCTGTGCGAACGTGCGAATCATATCTCTCAGGGAGCGATGTTCAGTAGGCAAATCTCTCAATGTAAAACACTCAACAGAAAACCAAAATCTAAAGAAAGACTTACTTTACTGCTCTGAGAAAGAGTGATTGTCAACACGATTTTCGGTCGTTCTCATAAACTGAAAATTAGGAATAAAAAGGTTAACAGTTATTCACAGTTATATTCTTCGTACGTCCCTCAGCGTTAGAATGCTTACAGTCGTTTTACAGTGTACAGAGTTTATTAATTACAATAAAATATCTAAAAAACGCCCCAAGTTTTTATCTTCTAAGTGTACAGAGTTTATTAATTACAATAAAATATCTAAAAAACGCACCAAGTTTCTATCTTCAAGAACACTAATGTTGGTATTTTTACCATAAACCATTTCCAATCGTTCAGTTACATGGCAGCTATAAGATATAATGCTTTAAGGGGACCCCCCCATTTTCGATTTTAAATTTTGACGATTTTCAATGGGCTGACAAATGAACATAAATTATTTTTTAGGGTTGTAACTGTGCTTACATATATTAAGACACAAAAAGGAAGAAAACCATTTCACAGAATTTTTTTTTTTTTTGTTTTTGTTGTTGTTTTTTGTGATCAAAGAAAAGCCCTTCTTTTCGGCGGCGCATGTGATTTCCGCTCACTGGGACGTCTGAATCCAAAAATTCCAACGGGATTAAAAAAATGTACATGTTTGGCTCTGGTATGAACTAGGATTATTAACTTCGCTCAAAAATTAACAAAATGGCGGACCTTTGAAATTTTTTGTTGAAAATTTCCATTTTTTTCAGCCACAAATCGAGTTGAAAAGTAAAGAAGATCTTCACCGATTTGGTTTATCCTAGTTCATACGAGAGCTATATATGTATAGAATAACGTGTTAAAATTTGGAACCGATTGGATTAATAGTTTTTGAGTAACCTCATGCGCCAGTCGTAAAAACACTGTTTCGAGAAAAACACGCTCAAAGTTTTGAGACGGCTCTGGCCGTCGCCTGAAGCTATATCTTCAAGAGTTTTTGAAATTTTTACTTGAAATTTGCAGGGAACATTCTTGAATAGTTATAAGTTCGAATTAAATTAAAAAAAAAAAAATCGATTTTTTAAAACCGAGAATGGGGGGGGTCCCCTTAATTCCTTTTTATGTCTTAATATATTTATGCACAGTTACAACCCTAAAAAGTAATTTATTTTCATTTGAGAGCTCATTGAAAATCGTCAAAATTTAAAATCGAGAATGGGGGGGGTCCCCTTAAGTTGATATACCCTTGCAGTTTAAACCGGATATATATCGCAAACATCGAATACAGTTGGCCGATCCTTATAAGAATATCACAATAAAACCAATCAATTACAATAAAACATCTAACAATTTAAACTTCTAAGTTATATGGCAGCTACAAAATATAGTCGACCGATCGTTATGAAATTTGGTAGATCGGATTAACTGACCAAAAATAGAATGCGTACCAAGTTCCAGCTTTCTATCTTCAAAAACACAAAAGTTGGGTCACTTCCGATCGTTCAGTTATATGGAAGCTATAAGATATAGTCGGCCCATCCTTATGAAATTTGGCAGGTCGTATTATTTTGCCAAAAATAGCTCTCGTGTAAAATTCTCTCTAACTCTAAAAACACCAAAGTTATACCATTTCCGATCAATCAGTTATATGGCAACTACAGGATATAGTCGGCCGATCCCGGCCATTCCGATTTATATACTGCGTGCAAAGAAAAGAGGGGTGTGTACGAGTCGATAGTCGATAGCTTAAAAACTGAGAGACTAGTTTGCGTAGAAACAGACAGACCGACAGACGGACATGCTCATATCAACTCAGGACGTGAACTGATCAAGAATATATATACTTTGTAGGGTCCTTTACTGCGTTGCACACTTTTGGAAAAAATTATAATACTTATTATTTGTCTTATTATTTGCTTATACTTTAAAAATTAAAAAATATTTATGATTTTGTGATTTTAATTTTAAAAATTTTAATTTTCTCTAAAAGAAACATCACCATCCAAAAACAAAAAAGTTTTATATTTTTAAAATAATTATTAATTTTTATATTTTGTTAAAGGTTGAACTGGATAAGCATGGAAACGTGCTTGAGCTTAAATTAGCTGACTTTGGGCTAGCCTGTGAAGTTACCGAACCACTCTATGCCGTTTGTGGAACTCCCACTTATGTGGCACCGGAGATATTGCTGGAAGTTGGTTATGGACTAAAGGTATAAAAACCCAATATTATAAACGTTTTTTCCTCACCTTTTCTCTTTTTTTCCTAAGATTGATGTTTGGGCCGCTGGTATTATTTTGTATATACTTCTATGTGGGTTCCCGCCGTTCGTCGCACCAGAAAACCAACAAGAACCTCTTTTTGACGCTATCATATCGGGTATCTACGAGTTTCCCGACCCTTACTGGTCAGACATTGGTGATGGAGTCCGCGATCTTATCGCTAATATGTTGCAATCCGATCCTGCGGTTCGTTTTACGAGCGAAGATATCTTAGACCACTATTGGACTATGGACAACGAAGATAAATGTTGTGATTTCAGCAGATGAATTATGGCCGTGTGGGGTGTTTAAAAAATTTCACTACCACTCACGACCAAATAGATGCCGCAGTCCAGTAGTTTTTGTGTTACGTATATTATAACGCTAATATTTATAAATTAATTTATGTATTAAGTTTTCTATTGATACCTACTAAGACACTTGTCAAATAACGACAGCAGTTTGAAACTTGTATGAGGTACCATCAAATTTCTTAAAAATTCCAATATTTAAGTCGATAAATATGGCTTGAGTTATTTTAAATAAATTTTCGTATGGGGTTAAATTTATATAAAAGGTCATTTGGAATTTAATGGGTTCTTTTAAAAATCATGTACAGTTTAAATGTATATTCATCTTCAGTTTAAATTCAGAATGAACTATCCGTGGAAAAAATTTGAGAATAAACTATATTTGGCATATTAATAAACACAACCGAATTAAAATAATATAAATTTATTTAATATAATCTGAAGCAGGGACTGTAACGGTTATAATTAAAAAAGCAAAAAATTACAAAATAAAAGTTATTTCTTAATTTTTATGAAAAAAATTGATTTTTAATAATTAAAATTAATTTTAATAATAAAAAATTAGTATTAATTATTAAGTATCAATTTTTATATAAAAATTACGCAATAACTTTTATTTTCAATTTTTATTATAAAAATTGGAAAATAAAAATTATCCGATAACTTTTATTTTAAAAATTGAAAATAAAGATTGAATCTATATATCTTTTGATCCGTAGAAGCCAGATCAAATATATATTTATATATATGATCTACACATCAATACCTTTCAGATGGTATATAATAAGAATGTATATATATATATATATGTATATATGTTTCTCCGCTTATGTGCCTGTGCAGTATTGACAGTATTCATAAATAGCCCAACTATGGTTGCGGCGGCTGAGAAAGAGTAGTTCAATCAATTATTAATCGAGATTAAATTACAAAAATTTATTAGTTTTTAATATATAAATGGCTAATTATTTAATTTCAAGAACATTAACTTTTGCACTGAGTCTGTCAATACTGCACAGGCACATAAGCGGAGAAACATATAAAATAATATGATTTTGGTGTTTGATATATGATGTGTTGTTGGTTATGTTGTTGGTTGGTTGGTATGTAGCTGCCACATAACTGAACGATCGGAAATGGTATTTGGTAGGAATACCAACTTTGGTATTTTTGAAGATAGAAGTTTGGGAGTTTTTTTTAGGTTTTGTTTCGTAATGAATTGATTATATCATGATATTCTCATAAGGAGCGGCCAACTATATCGGATGTTTGTTATATACATATATCTGGTTTTACCTGCAAGGGTATATCAACTTCGGCTCCGCCCGAAGTTAGCTTTCCTTTCTTGTTTTTATATTTTAGGGTTCTCGGATCTCCGGCCTCGGGTTGAGCATAACTCACAGGTCGGTCTCTTATTGGCTTTGGCTTCAGGCGGTCCCCTGGAACCCCAGAACAATGCCACAGATTGGTGCAGTATGTCCTGGACGTCTTCGAAACCAAGAAGTACTGCCTGGCTGTTATGCTGGATGTCAAACAAGCCTTCGACCGGGTCTGGCACTCCGGTCTCCTGCTTAAATTGAAGACTAACCTATCCAGACCTTACTACTTCTTCCTGGAGTCGTTCCCGACGGACCGCTAATTTGCGGTCAGATGCGGAGAGGCCACTTCCGGACTGAGCCGCGCCGGAGTCCCCCAAGGCAGCGTGCTGGGCCCTTTATTATACAATGTCTACACGGTCGATCTCCAAGTCTTGCGAAGCCCCAACATAATGCCAGCGACCTATGCGGACGTTACCGCTTTCATGACCGCTGCTGACAACGCTACAGAGGCAGCTGCTGTCATGCAGGAGCAACTAGATCTTCTCGGAAATTGGCACAGAAGGTGGAATATTCAAGTGAATAACGATAAACCCACCGCCACCATATTTTCTCTCGGTAGAGGAAATTGTCCACCTCAACAGCTCCCCCATCCCCCAAGTAGAAAACCCAAGATACTTGGGCTTCACGCTAGAAGCCTCACCTAGTCAAAAAGCGAAAGCAGTGTGAAGTAAGATTAAAGGCGTACTATTGGCTGATGGGTAGGAAGTCGAAGCTAAGAACCTCTTCGAAAATCCTAATCTACAAGGCGATTATTCGGCCAATTTGGACGTACGGGATCCAACTATGGGGCACGGCCAGCAAGACTAATATTCGGACTATCCAGACATTTGAAAATAGAGCCCTCCGTATCGCCACTGGGGCCACGACAACCAGACAATCCACGAGGTGCTTGGCTTCCCATGGGTGAAGGAGGAGATCCAGAGAAGCAGCAGCAAGTACATCCAGAGACTACACAACCACCCCAACGAGTTGGCAACCACTCTCCTCGACAACAGTGAACAGATGCGGCGGCTGTGCAGAACTAACCCGCTGGACCTCATCCGGAATAACTCTTAGACATAATTATTTTCCACCTCTTACTTAAGTTACACATAAGCCAAGTTTTCTGCCACAATGTTTAATAATTGTCCCTGTTTGACAGTTTTAAATAAAACCACTCGAACAAAAAAAAAATGGCCTAGCATATGTTTCCACTAGCCAGTGCCCCGTGATGACTCTAATAATCGTGCCGATTTAGATCATATTCATCCTTAATAATTGGGATGATCTTTTTTTTATATAATGGGTAGAGTTTCTGGGACAGATTCCAAATCGAGTTGGGATTTTTTTTATTAAGTGAGTTGGAGTATGTGAGAGGCTATTGGTATGCCAATACCCTCCATACTCCATTATTGCCTGGAAATACTCCATTATTGCCTCCATTCAAGCCTGGAGACGCTGCAGTGATTGGGTTGTCTGAAGGAGGCTCTTGTTTAGCTTCTTATCTACCTTTTTCTTTTCAATCTACCCCAAAAGGCCATATACCTCAAAGCCATTTGCTCCAAGGGACGTCAAGGCGTCAGTTATGTGTTTGGGAGAATGTTTTTGAATGTTGACCTTAGATGGACCCTTTCCAACGTTTTAAGCAGGAAACATGATCAAATCCTAGATCAGAGCCAAAAGTCATATTTTTTTTAAATGTTTAGGGGCCAGTTTTTGGCAATTTCGCCCGCATGTTGGATTTTTGCGGGTACGATCACGTCAAAATCCGCTGATTTGTAAGGCTTTATATGCTGCTCGAATAGGGGGATGGAATGTTCGGACCGACCTTATAGTCGGTCTAGAAGATTTCCTCGTTAAACGCCAGAGCTAAACAGGGCTGTGTCGTCGGCAAATATAAGTGTATGACATCTTTGAAGTAGGCGGATGTCATAGGTGTAAATGTTATAAAGAATTGGTCCGAGCACAGAGCCCTGTGGGACACCTGCTTTGATTAGTTTTTTATTCGAATTGGTACCATCAAGACTGACGTAAAAGTACCTACCTGAGAGAAAACTTTGGATGATCTTTGTTAAATATATTGGGCTGTTACAAGTGATAAGCTTATGGATTAGACCATGGTGCCAAACAGTATCAAAAGCAGCTTCTATGTCAAGCGTTACCATGCCAACTGACTCTTTTCGTGCAAAACTTTCCTTTATATAGTTAGTGATTTGATCAAGTGGGTGAATACAGTTCAGAAAAGCACGAAAGCCATATTGGACTGGGGGTAAAATTTTATTATCTTCCACATGCAGATTGAGCCTAGATTTAATTAATCTTTCAAAAATTTATGAAAAACCACATAGCAAACTTATCGGACGGTAATTGTTTGGACAATCCGGGGGCTTCCCTGGCATAGGAATTGGAATAATTCTTTCAATTTTCCAATTTTTGAGGAAATAACCAATTTAAAGACATTTATTCATGATTAGAGCAAGAAAGTCAATCGCATTTTTTGGTAAATTTTTTAGACAAATGTTTGGAATTTTATCAATGCCAGGTGATTTGTTATTTTTTAGTGACTTTATTATGACGTCAATATCCTTAGGAGTGATTTCAGGTGTGAATGTTAGGTCATTCAAATTTTTAAATTCGCTTAAAGTGTTTTGGACTTCAGTTGAGGTATTATAGTCTGAGAAACTGTCAGTAATGTGATGTTTTGATTCAAAAACTTCTGCTAAGATATCTGCTTTTTCTGCTCTTGTGGTAAACACTATATTATTGTGAAAGAAACTTGGGATAAACTGTTTTTTGTTCTTAATAATTTTAGTAAGCTTCCAAAATGGTCTGGAATTCTTGTCCAATTTAGACAGTTTAAGATTCCATTTTTCATTGTTAAGCTCAAATAGTTTCTGGCGAATCATGTCGTTCAAATAGTTTACCCTAGCCATAAAGATGGGTTGTCTGGTTCTAATCCATCTTCTTTGATTTGTGTTTCTATCACTGATTATATTTTTTGTCCACCGTGGAATTTTCAAAACTATGGGGCAAACAGGCGCTTCGGGTACACACTGCTTTATTGCATTATGTATGTCAGCTTGAAGAATATTGACCATTAATTCAATTACTTCTTGCTCCGCTTCAAAATCTGAAAGAGCTTCGAGATTGGCTAAGGTTACAACATTGAGGATATGCTTAAATTTTTTCCAGTTTGCTTTGGAGTATTGCAAGTGTGTAACATTTTTGCAATGTACTCCTTTAGTAAACTTACAAAGTACTGGTAAATGGTCCGATGAGAGATCAGTATGCACAATTGGCTCGGAGAAATTTATCGGTGAATTTGTAAGGAAAGTGTCAAGAGTTTAAGGCTTGCTACTAAAGTTAGCTGGTATATAGGTTGGATCTTTGGAGTATAAAAGCGAAAATTTTCCTGTTGACAAAAGCTCATGAAGGCAATTTCCAAACGAGTTAGCTCTGGCACACTTCCATAATCGATTTTTTCAGTTCAAGTCACCACCCAATATGTAATGGCCATCAATTTGTGAAAATTTTACTAGGTCGGCCCTGAACATTGTTTTTATGTGTTTATTTAATAAAGGAAAGTTGCATGGATTGTTTAGGCATTTAGCTGAAGCACCAGGAAAATAGGCTGAATATATTTTGAGAGAATTATTGGAGTCAATGTTTATCTTTATAGCAGTGGTCGGCACCCCAATACATTGATATGATTTTACCGCATTAGTGTTAGTAACGAATAGCAGAAAGTAGGCTGTGAGCATGACGTTTCACACATGCATACTGTGTGTGTGTGGCAGAGCTTGGGCAGAGAAATTTCCTATGCCCCCGAGATAGGGCCGTGCCGACCTCTGCTTTATATCAATTTTTTTTATAAGATGGGTGTTTATACTTTTGATTTGTTCATGCT